GTTTTTGCAATTTGCATATATGCAAGAACACATAAAAACGCGTATTGATGAGTTATTGATGTGTGTGTATATGTGTGTGTTCGCACTTCTACCATCCATTTTCAACTTAGCAAGCGGTGAAGTTAGGAAGCTGACATTTCTGGAGCATGTTGGCATCCCACATGCGATGCTCCAAATTTAAAATCGGCGCTCACGTATACTTAGGTCACGTGCACGGAGGTGCAAAAAAAGTTTAACTTTTCTTTCTTTAGTGGGGAAAGGACTTCAAAACGCAAGTATTTTTAATTTGATGTTTATGAAAAAAGTTCTTCTTTAGTCCCATTAGGACAAAACCAGATGGTGCCAACTGTTTGCTTAATTTGGTCCTTTGAAAAAATTGCAGAAAAACGCTCAAAAATTGAAACTGTTTTATGAGTTTAATTTGAAAATTTCCAACTTTTTCCAACTGCTTCTAGATGTCTACTTCCAAAAATGTCCTGCTTTTTGTGAAACAAAATCAAGAATGGAACATATCTGTCGATACTCTTATCCATTACTAGTGATCGACAAATATTCGCCAATTTCATCTACAAACCTGCGAATCCTCGTTATTTTCGACAGTATGCTGCTGATTTTCCAAGTAAATATTCGCATGCTCTGCATTTGATCCAGGCGGAAGTGCATATGGGTATCCGTTCACTAGTATAAACTGCTGATTCTCCCAGTAGCCTTTCGTATTTTCTGCGACCAACCTTTCTAGACTTGGCGGAATTGCGCGTGCACGTCCGACAGCTAACATATTTTCTTCTCCTTCGTTCTAAAGTTAAACAGGCATTTAGCTTTGTAATTTTTAGACTAATAAGGTTGGCTCGTGAATTTTGATCAGTGAAATTCGTGACACGAAAAGCATAAAGCTGAAACTTATAATGCCACGCTGTGCAAAGCCACTGGGCACAATCCTTGAAAGTGGAAGAAACGACTACAAGGACATGTTCACATCCATGCACATATCAACTATGAGGCAGTGAATGAAATTACTGTTAAAGCTTCCGCTGCAAAACAAATGTAAAAACGCAAAATTGTACTAATAAGCCTGGT